GCCGATTGGCTTGTATTACTTGCCAAGTGACTTGCACTTGCGGCAGCGCTGCCCCTGAAATCCGGCTTCATTGGGGACGAGACTCCCCCAAAAGCATAGCGGTTTAATTTCCTGTCAGAGTTGTTCAAGGACGGAACTGAATTGAAAAACTATACTTTTGAGTAAAGAATGTTAAGCCAGTTCAGTTAGTGAATTGAATGACCCCGCTTGAGGTGTTCCATTCTTAATAGCGACAAGAATCGAACGTTTGCCTACAGGCCAAGGCAACTTTCAGTGCCATTACCGATAGTGTGCATCCGCAATTTTGAGCCTACGATGGAATGGCTTCGGGAGAGTTGAGCTGGAGTCGCAAGCTCCGATACGAAGTCCGATACACCGCGACGAGGCAGTCGGTGTGGAAAAGATGTTGCGGCCATGAAACGTTGGAATTCATTAAGTATACGCGCACAAGGATGGCTTTGGCTGTTGATATTGACGCTGAGCCTCAGGGTGTCTTATGATTCAATGGTCGTGTGTATTGAGATTTCACGCACCATTGCCCCGCTCGCCAGCCAAGAAATTCATTGCTTGATTGAGATTTCAAGCAGCACGATAAACAGTATGACCGACCTCCAGAATTGAAGATAGACTTTATTACAGACACAGGCGTTGGAGAGAGCCCGTGACGACAGGACGTGGCTTCAATGGCTGGAGATGTCTTCAAAGAAGTCGGAAAACTACGCCAAAGAGACATTTATGCACATCTACTTTAGAGTTTCTACAGAAAATACTAGGTGTTCGTTCGAGACCAGAGGAGTGGCAGTATCGGCTGCAAAGGTCCCACTTCAGGGAGCTTGTTGGCAATCGGGTCTTATACAGAGGCGTGAGGACACCTTCGGTCAGGTCGGCGACATCTACATGGCTTTCGATCTGGCAAGCTACAGTCTCCAGCTATGGAGAATTTACTAACTGGGTGTCTTCATTTGACGGCGTTGGGGTCGTCGTTTCCTCTTCAGATGACTGGCTTGTATTTGGAAGCGTTGGTCAGAATGTGACACGAAGCTTGCGGATGAGCTAGTGAGACTTTCAACCACAGATAGCCGCGGGAAGAACCCTCATCAGCCTCTTATTGAACTTCATTATCTCCCATGAAAAAGTCTTCTAGTCATGTTTCTTCCACCTCTACTGCTTGGAGTATCGCCACGGCAAGAAGCTTCGAAACGCCGGGGAGATCCAACCCATTGACTCCCGTCACCTCACTTGGATTCAACGATTGCGCGGTAAGCCCCGGATCAATTCCAGTGCATAGAAAGGTATCTGTTGCTCTGCTTCTACTTTGCTGGATACATCAATTGCTTTTCTTGCTAAATTTAAGCTGACATTGACTTCTGGTGGCAGATTGGGTAGTTTTGGTGCACAATATTGACGTTGTGAGCCGACCGAGTCTGTGAAATATAGGGAAGTGAGCCCTGCCATCCAAAATTGGTGGTAAACGTACCAAAGGGCTGAATGGATCGTCTGATATCTCATGGAATTGTCCTGGGACGGATCGGTTCAAAGTTCTGCTGTCTCCTTTCACCCGTCCGCCTTTCTGCCACCGCCAATCCTTCACAGCTTCCACAGAGTGTACATAGTAATCCATGTGTCCCCCCTTGATTCCAGATGTTTTTATTCTCCATGATGTCCGTCTCCAACATCCGGTTTGAACAGTGGGCTAAGTGCACCTTCGTGTGTCAGAGTGATGCCTGAAGGGCGCAGGGTCGGGTAGCAGCCGACAGTTCAATCGAAATCCGCCTGCGCTCGACCAGCACACCGTCTCGTTCTCATCCCTGACGTATGATCCGACTCCAATGTTATTTCTCCCCTACTACAACATGTGCGATTCATCAAATTTCGTTATGTGCATCAATCCCGCTGGACAAACCCGGACTTCCCAGTTGTGCGTCGGGAAACCCTTCATCAGAAACAACAGCCACCGAACATTTTGAGTTCTGATGCTTAGAATGTACAAATGTCTTCATTTTGACTGCTTTTTAACCTTCACTACTGCCGCCCTGGCGAAGACTAGCTTCACTATCTAGGTCACAGGTCTATTGAGCCTATTCGGCCTAGCACCGATGAAGAAGCCACCAGCAGGGCGATAGCTTCATAGTTACAACATGTTCTCGAGAGACCACAAAGGCAAGGGGAAATGTCTTTATACCTCAGCGGCAAGTACGATTACTCTTTTTCACTACAGATATTTGGCTCCTTCGCCTTGCTGGCAAAGCATGCCAAAGCCAAACTGTGTGCTCGTCGGATGGCTTCTTCAGTTGGGTAGTGAAACCTGTTGTTTTCGGAGGCGCTGTTTAGGGAAACACCAGCATCTGTCTGTTTTTTGCTTGCTGGAGCTGAACAAGGTTGTCGCTGTTGACGAACTGAGAGTCTTCTGCAGACATACCCAAGACGCTGCGTCGATCTTGACTAACGTGTGTGAAGCTCGCCGCGGGCAGTGGGTCGGGAAACTATCATGGTTGAGGGTCTGATTACGGCGCTCACCATCGTGGTGTCCCCGTCCTAAAACAGCCAGAAATTTACAGCCGGCGGGAGCCGGGGAACGGGGCAACAAGAACCCACTAACATGACCGCTCAGAAATGTTGCAAACCAGCTTGCAGTGAGTTTAGGGATGCGTTTGAGATGAGAAGGGGTTTCGTCCATAGATCAGTGAGCAATATCGGGTCCAGTGATCCTTGTGGTCAGGTAAACGTTCAAGGTGGCATCGCGGGCGCGAATTCTTCCTCTCTTCTAACTTTCTTTTTCACAGTTTGCCGCCTGTAGACGCACCTTTTGACTGCCATATGACTCTAACGGAAACATATCGAGGGCCAGGATGGCGTAGGCTAGAGAAACCTCTATGGTTATCTATAGGGTACATAATCCATTCCAAACCATACGGTAAAGTAAGGTAAGGGAATATCCATGCAGAATCCAGTGTTCTTATCAGAGACGAGACTCCTCCATTGCCCCCGAACCACCCGACATTAACACGACAGGTGGTCCTCTGGATTATCATCATCTTCAGTCAATACCAAAAATAAACCCAAGAAAATTCAAAAGTTCCCATCACGTCAATATCCTGCCCATCATGTCGTCCGCCAGTGATGCGCAAGACGGCTTCCTAATCGTCCAACACAGACTCGACATCGAATTGTCTGAGTTTGCGAAAGGGGAGGTCTTCGAATTCGAAATTTTATGGTCTGGTGGAGATCGCAAGTGGGTATCAGAGCCCGAGTTCGAGCGATCGCAGCCGTCAGCCGTGGACGAGTACTAGAAGGAACGTGGCGGTCGTGGACAACATCTGACGCCGCCCGCCAAGTGGGTGAAGAAAAGCATCCTGCGTCACCGGCTGAATCCTGACAGCCCACTTCGGGACGAAGAGTATCAAGTCACCTGGCTTGGAACAATGGATACGTCATGGGAGCCGAGGAAGAAGGTCCCCGCCAGGCTTCGAAGAAAGTATTGGGCCCAGGAGAAGGAGACTACCGGTATGGACGAATGGCGCACCCTAGAAGAGCAGAGAGTCAGCATTCAGTCTGGCCAGGACGGGGGGGAGGGCGTGAATGAGGATGAGGGCGTTGACGAGGACGAGGAAATTGAAGAGAATGCAGACGAGAACGAGGACGCAGTCGTCGAGGTCCACGCCAACAACACTGATGGTGGAAAATTCAAGTCATGATGCTCTTTGCGAGAGTAAAAGACCTGGTACTCATTCATTTAATTGCGTAGGAGGAGAGTGTTTCAGATTGGGGGGAACTGACATAAAGTACGTAGAAGCCTTAAGTCAAGGCCTCACTTGACACATCGATCATTGGTCTCATTGTTTCTCTTGACAGTTGTGGGCCTATGAATGTCATGACAGTGGCATGCTATCTCTTGAACAACGCCAAAACGGCCCCGAGTACAACAGATATTTGTCATCGCTAACGGACGGTTACTATATGCAAAAGGGGTGATGATGGCCTTTCCATAAGAATGCCCTGGGTGGGTGGACGTAAATTTTGAAAGCCAAAAGAATTGACATATGAGTTTGGATGAGTTCAGGATCTTCGCCATGATTGAGGGTGGATCGATGCCGCTATTGATGGATAAATGCGTCACCGCTCCATCCCCCTCCAATGTCTTCTCACCAGAACCTCCGAGCAGAACGCCGTCAGGTTAGGCATTAGCTGTCCGTAAGTAAATCAGCATGAAAAGGCTTTTTGATCCTCGCATCGATGTTCATCGTAATGGGTTGGATGTATGCAAGAGTGTTCTTAAACCTTGTTTAGAGAGCTTAGAGGGATTGAGACTCAGCAGGAGCAGACGCTTGATATTTACGCAAGTTCACCACTGACCTGCGCGGTCAATCGACAGTGCCGATGGTGCTTTGAGACTCAAGATTACCCCAGATTCAGGTCTTTAACTTACGCGGCGATTGGTTTCACTACGTACGGCCCGCAGATGAAATACTCATCATTTATAACGCAGCTGTCTTATCCTTTTGGCTCATGGTGGCTGAGGTGTGTATGATCATTTGCCCTGGAGAGGCGAAGCATATCGCGAGCAAGGATTGCTAGGCAGAAGGTGTCAGTCAACCTAGGCTCCAACTGTGAGACAGCAACAAGGGTCTGGTTGGTCAGTCGCGGGGAAGTGTACTCTTAGTAAGAACTAGACCTATTCTAACACCAGTGGACAAGGGACATGGGGCCCAACCTTGGCAAGTGAATACGGTATCGGCTAACTGCAGGCTGCCACAGCTTAGTCAGAAAGTAAGATCTTGAAAAGAGAGGGGACTCTGTTGATGCTCGGATGCAATGTTTCCCCTCAACATCTCAATCATTTGCTACGAACGGTTTCTACGACATGAAAGAAAATGTCTCAATGGTTGCATCCACAGCCACCAGTGCTTCCAGGCCAAGCTGCCGAACGGTTGGGCCGACAGCAAGAACAGACTGTCCATTCAATGAACCAGTGGGAACAGGAGCGACAGGAAAATATCCCGATGCCCCGAATTGTCATGCTTCACGACAACTCGACTAATCAAGCCCGGGGCTGGGGTGAGCCTTTGCTGTATGTACCAGAGAGCCCGGCTACCATTCTGCCCAGCGGTCCTCTGCCAGTAGAGTATCATTGGGGAGATTCCGAAGATAGCGGCACGCCACACGGAGATGACAGTGAAGATGCATACGACAGCATGGAGCTGCGCAGTTCACACCACCTCTGTGTCGCTTGCAAGCATACTTTCAATTACTTCTGCAAGTATAACGAGGTCTCTGGAGACGAACGCATCAGCATGAAGAATAATGTGCTGCATTCCGAGTCGATTTTATCCCTCTTCATGTTCGCTAACCTGGCGAATTGTTTCATCTGCCGCAAGATTTGGAGCAAGATCAAGACAATGTACCCGAATCTGGACCCCAATAGCCCTTCATCCTACAAAGTTGAATGCTGCTGGACTATCGACGGTGGCTTGAGTCGGGAGACAAAGATGTGGATGGTCATATACGACTCCTCGGTTCCCAGGAAGCCTTCTTACAACTACCAACATGTTCTTCGCATTGGTCTGTGGCCCAAGGCACACTACGGCATACACTTTGGCAAAGACACAGATCAGAAAACACTTCTTGGTTCACGCGGAGTACGCGGAGGTGGGGATGACTTTGTTAACGAAGATACTACTGAGTCTGCCAAGACCAGATCCTTAGCCCAGTCGTGGTTTGCGAGGTGCACGCACAACACCAATGGGCAGCATGGCATCTGCAACAGAAAGGAGGGGACCTATCTCCCCACCCGGCTTCTTGACGTGCGAAGTGCCCTGGAGAGAGGCCAGGCACTGCTAGTGTGTCCCGATTTGACGCCGGAAGCCTTCGGCACAAATCCACGATACGCAACAGTCAGCCATTGTTGGGGTGCGGCGGGTGCGAATGAGCACATTGTCCTCTTGACTCAGAATGTGGATACCCGTCGGGTCGACGGGACAGCATGGGACATATTGCCCAAGACCTTCCAGGACGCTTTTAAGATTGCCTCGTGGTTGGGGCTCGATTGGCTCTGGATCGATTGCATGTGCATCATGCAGAACTCAGCATCAGATTGGCAAAAGGAGGCCTCGGCTATGGATCGGGTATACATGAACGCTGAGGTGAACATCTCGGCGGACTGGGGAAGAGACAGCCAGGCAGGTTGCTTCTCGAAAAGGAACAAGATCGACACCATCCCTCTTGAATTCGCAAGCCCGAAGTCCGAACGAGCGTGGATTGTGACGACAGAAGACGCCTTTTTCTGGATGAGCTCTGCACCTTCGCTTTCGCGGGCATGGATTCACCGCGAGAGACAGCTAGCAAGACGCATCCTACACTTCACAAAAAAGGAATTAGTGTGGGAGTGTTGTGGGCAGGGTAAGGCCTGCTTCGCCAGCGAGACGATGCCAGGTGGCTCGCCATTTGAGAACGTCTTCAAGGGAGAGATCAAGTTCCAAATCCAGTTCGCGAACCTGGCAGTATTCACACCCGGCTTGCAACATCCAAGCGCGGAAGACCGGCTGGATAAAATCCATCAGCTGTGGAACTCGACTTGCCAGGATCTGTCGAACAAGTCTGTTACCTACGCCTCGGACTTACCTGTGATACTTTCAAGCTTGGCCAAAGAGTTTCAAGCGTTGATGCCGGATGATGAGTACGTTGCCGGGCTCTGGAGATCTACACTCGTCGAGGCCCTGACTTGGTTCGTCCCAGGCGATAAGCCAGAGTACGACGGGTATATCGCACCGTCTTGGTCATGGCTGAGTGCTGCGAGTCCGGTAAAGCTCTATTATCCGGGTCATGTGCAACGGAAACGAATCGTAGCCGAGATTGTTGCCATCGATACCAAGGTGGATCCGTCCAGCGACAATCCTTACGGCCAACTAGTTAGCGGGTCATCGTTGCGCGTGCGTGGTTTCCTGCGCCGACTGCATTTCCATTTCGTCGGCCCCCCGAACCACGGAATCATCCTCAGCGTCGTCGAAAAAGATTCGGACGGCCGTGATCGGCTGCGTGTCATTGGTCCAGATTGGGACAAGCACGAGGGACTAGTCTTTCGACTCACGACAGACAGCATGGTGACTCTGCCGTACCAAGAGTGGGAGTGCTTCGCCCTTTTCACCACTTTGAACGAGTGGGCGCAGTTCCTGTGCAATTGCCGGCGGCGACTCTCGTGTATCCTGCTAGAGATGGTGACAGGGAATTCTGGCCATGGCCACGTAGACGAAAATGTCTATAGGAGAATCGGCACACTTGAAGACATTAGCGATACGTACAGCTTCAAGATGCGCTATCGCGTGGCCGAGAACTCGACAGTCCGCGAGGCGGGCTCGTCACGGGATATGTTTGAGGAGAATCCTACGGCATTCGCCGGAAAGCCTCAGCCAGAGACTTGGTTCCATGGACAAGAAGATGTTGGAGCTGCTGAAGCCGAAGAGACAGACGTCGCTGGCGATGAGGTTGAAGCATCAGCAAGTGGGCGTCGTGATTCCGCAAGCAGCACCGACACAGACTATGCCGATGGAGAGATCTGGACTTGCCTGGTGCAGTATATTCAGAGGAAACGTTGGAGCATCATTCGGGAGTTTAAAGAGCAACAAGATGAGGGGAAAGAGACGCAGGAGGGGAGCTCTAATCTGGAACAACTTGGCACCTGTGGACAAGGCAATAGAGGTAGGGGTATAGACGGCGAGTCGCAAGGCGAGAATTACGGCTCTCTGAACGACAGCTTTGGGAACAAAGTGTGCGATGATCAAGACGGCGGGCGAGAAGAAACTGAGGGAAAGCATAAGGGCAATGAACATAGCGACCAAGGCGACGATGAGGACGAAGACGGCGAAGAGGAAGCCGACAATAACAAGGAGGAAGAGGACAGCGATAGTCGAGGAGACAGCAGTGAGGAAGAAGACCGTCACCGAGAAGATCTACACCTTTCTGTCGTCATCGTGCAAATTCACGACAACCCCTCCTCGGGCCTCGCACCAATGACTACCGCCGTCGATACAAGAGATGCCTGGAAACGATTGCAGGAAGCCAAAACGTTTATCTCTGAAACAATGGCACACGGGAAAAACCAGCCACAGGATCCTGCGGCGGCATTGTACCAGTTTGACGATGTACTGCATCAATGGCAGGAGCTGCGGGGTGTGGTTCCGTGGCTTGAGCGACTAGAAACTATTGAAATCACTCTGGTGTGATTTGGTTTCAGCGTTCAGAGGATTTCCAGCTCGCTATTTGGCCCAGTTCCAGAATTAGAATACGAACAGCTGGAATGGAAAGTTGCATTAGATGTGTCGATTCTCATATGTTCACGGTGGCCAACGCTAAGATGCTAACAAAGGCAAGATGAAGGACCTCAAGTCTTGTATTTCAAGGAGTATTCTTTATCATGTCGAAATTTACACAGACAACCCAGCCCAATCACGTATTTCTACCTACCACAACTGGCAACCTGCGGCCAAGACAGAACATCAAGTCCCATTTGACAGAAAATAGGGCGCTCTGCGAAGCATCCCGTGGTGGTGCGCTCAGCTTCGCTTGTGATTAAACCCACAATAAAAACCGGAAGACATCGTCTGAGTTGCTCAATTCCGTGCTTTGTGTTGTTGGGGCAGTCTGATGTTGTTGTGGGCGGCAGGGCGTGGGACGCTTGGGCTGCCTATGATGGAGATGATTGATGGAGCTTGGTGGAAAAGGCCACGGTAATGCAGCGGCCTCATTGCGAGAAGCCTGCCTTTAGTTGCAAGGTGCGTGAAATGGCTTGATAAATCTAGCTACGAGCGCTGAGCGTGCTTGGGTACGAAGTAGTGTGGCCGATTCCTTACGTACAGGCGATTCGGGCCGGCTTCTGGGCTTCAGTCCTGGGGCCGAGCTCCGTCTTGCACAGGGCATGCGAATTGAAGTGGCTGTTCACCTTTGTCAGAAGATGTAGACATTTCAAAGTAGACGGCTGGGAGTTGGTGCGCGTGATGTTCTGATGTCGCTTTTGCTCTTTACCGCCGGGCGTAGCGACCGAATGGGCAGTGTATCTCGAAGAAAGGAAATGCCAAAGGAGCTGCGGTGGTAGGAGAAGACGAACTTCTTCGGGGGAATGCATGACCCGCATCAGTACCATCGTCACCGTCACAGTGCTTCCCAAGGCCAAAGTGGGGCCGGTATCCGTTCCCGCTGGCCGGAGGTAGAGACAACATGCAGGACGGAGAACGAAGCCTACTGAATACTGCGGGCTGCAATTTCGTGTCGGCTTTCGGTTTAAATTGAATATCAGATGATTTCAGCAGATAATTCATGGCAGGCTCGCTTAATTGGGCTCGCTATTTGGCGGCCGCTTCAGTCAGAACGGCGTCATGGTGCGGCGACAGCGGACGCTCCGCGTAGTGGAGTTCGTACAGGTCGGGGAGGGCTTATAAGAGATGTGCTCGGAGTGCAATTCTCTGTCGTCTGGATGATTAACTGTTCAGCCGCCCCGGTTTCCGTGGATGGAGTTTTTGTGAGAGATGAAGTCGACGGCGTCAATTGACGTCCGGTGCGAAAACTCAGGGTGCTGTGGTTGTGGTGCATGTGATCCGTGCGGCGGGATACGTACGGATACAGGGCTCATCGCTCCCGATTCCGGCGCTGTCCTCACCTGCTGATTTCTCGGCCTACTAAGGTAGCTTCTCGACTACCTGTTCACTTTTCGACCTCAGGTGCCTCGTGATATTACCTGCTAAAGACACTACAACAGGTTGCTGAAGCAGCAACGGTGCATTATTATAGGAACCTCTTAAAGTCAACTAACCACCCCCTTTCCTATAGGACTTAATAGTTTACAGGCTAGATTTGATCCCAACGTGATGCTGCGGAATACGTAAGCATGACCGCTGCGTGATGCTTGTGGCCCTTTATACGACGGATCGAGTGCCTGCAAGAGAAACTCCCTTAGTCAGCTGTTGTGTGAGAACTTTCGCCTGGCCGAAGTAATGCGATTGGCTAAGCTGTCCTTTTTCCCTCCTAGGTTTCTATTTATGCTTTCGTACGGCGGACGTGTGAAGTGGTTTGATTCGGCGCGCTAGCGCCAAGTGGCGTGGTTCATCGAGATGGGGCTTTCGGGCCTCGGGTCAAGTCGGAACACTGTATGATGCAACTTCACTGTTGCATTCGGCTTCGGTATTTCAAGTGGACGGAGCTTGCTCCGCAACGGTCACGGACTTCGGAGCTGCGGCCACACATCGAGCGGCAGAAGGACGTGCGGCCACAACGCCGGATCGAGGGCCAGTGGAGGTCTCCCCGTTTCTCAGCAAGGTTATGCGACAATTCGGTTGGAACCGCAGAAGATTATTAGGCAATGCTACCCCGCTGGTCACTGATGCCAGGAGTCTTGTCCAATTCGCCATCTGCCCGCCTAGCTGTTGTTATTCTGAGCTGTTCCTGGAGTGTTCCTAACACCTTGTGACTCGTCTACTCACCTGCAGGGGGAGGCAAACCGCTCAGGAGTGCGTACTTTTCCCTCTCAACAGATTGGGATCGCTTTGAGGGCTGGATAGGGTTGCAAGTCGGGATCGGGAAAATTCACGACTCGCATCCCCGCCCTGCCTCATGTTTCGGTCTCAGCCCCGACTCTTGCGCCTTCTCTCCAATTGAAGAACGTTCCTGACTTTGCCAGTGAAAATGAAGCCACCCGTCCCGCTGAGCGTCCTTCGAACTTTCCCTCTCTCTTCCATTCTCCTCTACGCCCCAACGTTCCCTGGAGTTTCAGTGAGCATCGTCCCGATTCGAACGACCCTCTGCCATTACTCATTGCGTGACATCATCTCTACCTTGTTTCTGACTCCATAACAGACTCAACCCGCCAAATCACGAGACACGGCGAGAAAAGACGTACGCAGACGCCGGCGCAGCTCCACTGTTCCGGACCCCACGCACTCTCGAATGCGATAACGATGGCCACGGTTCTCCGCTGGGTACCGATTACCACAATCATCCGAGCCTCCAACGCCACAGCACAGACACCCAGCTCTTGTCTAAGTCTACGGCCCGAAGAGCATGTACACAGTCCTCCACACGATGCTGTTGATGTCGCGATTGGGGCTGCAGCTGTAGCTGCACTCCGAGGCGAAAGAACTATCACGCCCCCCGATCCACATTGCGGCCGTCCTGCCAATTATAGCAGTGGCCATCACAGCGACAACCATTACTGGTAGGTGTATCACGCCGACCAACACCGTGCTGACAAGTATGGTATGATCAATTTACGAGTCCTCTAGATGGGACACCCTGAAGCAGAGGCACCGTAGATCCAGAAACAAAGGCTCTGCGAGCTACAGTTCGATGCAGACTGCAGTGCGCCAATGCTGAGACACTTACCAAGGTGGTAGACACGAAAGCTTGCAATGCGATACTACCAATGAGGACGCGTTGCGCGACATGATCCGCTACTGCACGACTCTAAGGAGGCTGACTCTGAAGTAGAGGCCCCGAAATTTCAACTACGAGCGGAACGGGAAGACCCTCTTCCCCAAGAGCCTACCTGGGAGTACGAATCGTGTATATTTCAGAACATGTAAAAGATTATGCGCATTTACCAGGAGTCCGTCGTTGGTCCACATGTTGGATGAGGACAGACGGTCTAGAGAAGGGTGGAAATCACGCACTATGTCAACTTTACCGAGGTTGGATGGCTGTCAATTCTACATGTGTTACTCACTTTTTGGATTGAAAGGATCCACGTGCTAGTCATGGACACCGGTAGTTATTCAATACGACGAACAGACGGGTCAGGTGAGACACAGGAGGCGCGGAAGCTGAGGAGTAAGATGTAGTTGAAGCATAGTCACATGCCAAACCTGCAGCAGGAGCCTGCAGTCTGAACTTTGGCTTGATATGAAGCTCGCTCGTGGCTATGTCAATCATCTGAATTGGAAGATAAGAATGGCACCATGTTACGGGCCCCTAGTGGTGGTGTTATAGTAGTAAATGGCGTCGATCTAAATCGTGGTCAAAGTCAGCTTGCTTATTGACAGACTGAAGCAGACTTTGCTCCAGCCCGTAGCATAGTAGCCGTGTCGGGAATTGTTGAAGATCCCGTTGCACGCCAGGAGACTGCTGGAAACACAGTTGTATCACGGAGCAGGCAGATCGGGAGACGGCTGGGAGGAAAGCGGTCGAATACTTGATCCATGCATATTGTGCCCTTCCCAGCATCTCTTGAAAGGTTGATCTATGCAGTCATGGTAGCCTCGGGGCCATAAATCTGTTTTACTGGCTGGTTGCGAAGTCTAAATAGAAGGGTTGGACCTTGGTTGATATCGTCGATCGTGTTTAACTCCCAAACGTATCAGACTGCCTTATTGGTGGTCTGATCAAAGTTCAATGATTAAAGCAGAAAAACGCTACCAGAATTTGGAATGCCCCGACCAAGGCTTCTTCGGAATTGCCAAGCAACCACAGCAGATTTCACATGGTAGATGGCACCGTTTGATGGTACAAATGTCGTATAATAACGAATGACAGAATCAGCTGAGAAAGGCAGGAACCTCACCGACATGTGCTACCTTCGGCGAGTCAGAGGCAACTTCCTCCATGCTCCAATGCCGTTGAAGCTGAAGCTGAGCTTACCACGCCCCTCCCCCGCAGGTTTCCTAATTGAGACCATCAAGACTATCGGCTGAAGGATGTGGGCAAGCTATGTGGCCTTGGCAGCTGCGGTGTCTGAAGTCTTTCGTGAGTAAAGACAACCACTGCGAGACCAGATGAAGAGCCTTTCATGTTTTGGGATTGATCAGCCATGAGATTTACGCGTGAAGGAGAGGGGAGATTGGGACAACATCTTCTTGTCTTCACTTCAAGGGATTTTGGTGACTCGGCTGAGGATGGGATCGGAGAAGAAAAGAGCGGTGCTGGCCGCTCCCGCGTATAGTTGCCATCCTATTCACTTAACTGGCCGCGTTATACTGGTTTGGACCAATGACGATGTTTCAGTGGAAGTAAACAGCCTCTAGTCGTCATGAAAGTTACCGGAATTGAATAAACCATATGGGAGGCAGCCATCACCGGATTGATCATTAAAGTAGCTGGACGATGGAGGCTAGGTAAGGCAACATTGATAAAGTAGACCAGCTGGAAACCTTTGGGCTGAGAGTTGGGTTTCCAGGGCTGGAGTTTAGGCTATAGACTAAGCAGTAGAAAAGCAAAGGCTGATGGCATGGCTGAACAATGA